AGCCCAGTTTGAGGCAACGCCAAACTGACGAGAGCGAGACCTCCCCTCGCTAAAGCCAGCAGGGGACGGGGAGCTTGGCGCTCCGCCTACGCCAAACGCCCACGCACCGAGGCCTAAGGAAAGCTCGCGCCGCTTCCCGCGACAGAGACGGCAAGGCCGGCGAGGCTCGTCACGCAGACGCCTGCGAACTAGGCCGCAGCGGTTCCCTCCGGCCAGACCCGCTCCGACACCCACCCCCCACTTGGACATTGCTTTCGTTTCGGTCCCCGAGGCCTAAGGCCCAACGGGGCCGCCGCAACCATAGCAACCGGAGCCACCGGCGCGAGCCCATTTACCTCCGAAGCCGGCGCGCCCGCCGAAGGCCGCTGAGCTTCCGTAGTTTCAGCTTCGGCGCCTCCTTCCGCCGCTCAGGCCTGACTAGACGATCCCCGGAGCTCATCTATTCACGCAGCCCAACCGAAGAGCGCCGAATGCATCGATTAGAAAAGCCACTTTTTTTCCTCTTCCTCTCCATCCCCCGCTTTAGTAGACTAGCTCGCTCGCTATTCGGCGTTCTTCTTCCTCTTTCTTTGCTTTTCCTTATTTAAGCAACATTGCTGACCACATAAACAAATCTAATTAATCGGTCCTCGTAGGGATATTTCCCCCCCTTTAAAAAAATAAAATAATAATGACGATGATGCGGGTGCGAGTTGTCATTCACGCCCTTTCTTTATTCCTTACCTTCTCCCTCCACCCCACACCCGCCTCCTCCCCAGGAAAGAAAGCGGCGTGGGAAGGGAGGGAGGACCCGGAATAAATCACAGAATTCTGTCTGTATAAGGTGCGCTGTGATTAAAACTGCAGTGATTTATCTGCAAATTGCTTTAAAAAAAAACACCACCACCCTGCAATTTTCCTTCCTTGGAAATGATGGGCTTTCTAAGGTTAGGTGCAAATTAGTTTCCCAGTTGAGACTATTTAAGGGTTGTGATGGTTGCGGGAGGAGGGGAGTTTAGACGCCCCGTTGGAGGAGGATGTAAGAATAAAATTTATCGTTTTTCATTTAAGCTAAGAGTAATTAAAGAAGCTCGCTCTTTCCTGGAATTCATGCTACATTGACATATATATTTCCCCCCCTCGACTCTCTGAGAAAACCATTTCCTTTCTTTGCTATAAAGACGAGACGCTTTTGTCTGACAGGGGTAAAAGTAGCCGCTGTTTACTTTGCTCTGGGTGGCTTCTGGGTGGTGGGTCAAGAAGAATAGGCCCCGGTCTTCAAACTGCCCGGTGCGGCAGCGCTACGTTTATTCACAGGGAGCTGAAATGCTGTGCTCAATGGGGCAAAGGAGTTTTGGATTTTTTTTAGATGGGAGATCAGAACATAATCTCACAAGGAAACTTTATGCATTCACGCATATGCTTAAATTTCAGGCATCCGGGCTTAAACTTTGATTCAAAGCAACAAATCCTTTTTCCCCCAGAGTTCAGCTGCGATCCTAAATGTACTTGCTTCTACACTTCATGCTCGCGGTTCCAAGTGGTGGTTTGGATTATATCAGAGCAAACCCACTGCTTTCGGCAAAAGTAAATGTTGTGTCCGGAATTTCTTACACCTCCTGAGTTTATTTCACGCAGATTTGCTGGTGTTAACAATTCAGCAGTCCAGCTGGTGGGTTGTTGAGACACTTAACTTGCTTACAGTTATACCAAATTTACGGTGCAATCCTATACATGTCTCCTCAGAAGTAAGGGCTATTGAGTTTAATGGAACTTACTGCCAGGTAAGTGTGTATAGGATTCCTTGCGCCCTAAATCAGACATCTAGCTCTGATAATTCTGGCATATATAGGCTATTCTATGCAGACTTTCTGAAGATCATGCTTTCCAGTGGAAAGTATAGTATTCACGCATAGGAGTGAAAAATACCGTGAGTATGTATATCTAATTTACACGTTTCTGGATTCCACAGGGTGATGCCTAATCAAGCTTCTCTATCCAAAATCAAATTCCACAGGAAACATCCACTTTACTTGTGTCTTGTCCTTTCTGTATATTATTATTTTTTAAATCTCTGTTTTTTGTGTGTATCGACGGTATTGAAAAGTGGAATCCAGGTGGGGATGTTAAAAATTTGCACAAAACTGAATTTTGTTATTTAAAAAGGGAGGCCCAGCCAATTAATTATCTGAAATAGATTGGTCTCCGAAAGTTTAGCACTCGATGCCTCCAGTATCGGGAGGATGCTGTAGAAGTTTCATTGAAAACAGTGGGGATTGTTTTGAAGTGATGTATTATTCACTTGGATGTTGTTAGCCATTTTTTTCATTTTCCAATTCTTTTTCCATTAGAATAATTGTGTGTGCTTCTTTTAGTTTTTCGGCCATAAACAATTCCCTCCTAGGCGATAGAACATAACAGGACACATTCCCTGCAAGTCGAGCAAGTCGAGCACTTTCGCATGTCGGAGCACCCAGCCTGTATCCTAACAGGCTTAATAGGAACAACCACAAAACAGATAGTTAAGAAGAGGTTCACGTAATTTTCCTACAAATTATTTAGAAGTTCACCGTTTGCCTGAACTACATGCAAAAGAAATCACATATTTTAAGCACCTTTTCAGAAGCACCCTTTTCCGTAACATATTGGAAAAGGGATTCAGTTTTATTTTATTTTTAATTAACTCATAATCCGGACTTGGAATAGTTTCCAGAGCCACTCTGCCCAAGCTGTAAAGTCTGTGCCCCCCCCCCCGAAAGCGTTAAATTCAAATATCTGGACATAATGAGATTAAAGAAAGGAGAGAACAAACTAGCAATACATATTCCAACGTCGAGTTTAAAAAGACGCTCCCATTTTCCAGGTGAGAAAATGGAAAGAGGCGGTTGTTTTCAAACTACATTTGGACAAGTGCACTCTGCAGCGCGACTGTCAAACTATTTACTAAGAAGGAAGGCCCACTGCAGCTCCCCCCCAAAAAAAGTCTAAAGTGTGAGCTCAAGCTTTCAAGTCAGTTCTGTTAATTCCGATACCAACTTCTCAAACCTGTTTTGCAATCCTGTCCTTTTACTGAGATCACACAAGCGCCCCTGAGTTCAATGGAACTTAACTCCCATGCGAATGTGCATCGGATTGCAACCTAAGAGTTTCCCAGGTCCTGAAGAAGAGACTGGCCAGATTTTCCCAAATCATTTATGTATCTCAGATCATATACGAATCCATGTATTTTAGTTGTTGTTGTTGTTGTTGTTGTTGTTGTTTTGAAGAGCATTGATAATCCACCCCAGAGAGGAAATTACCAAAACAACATGAAGAATAGAAACCTAAAGCAAAATGCAGCAACAGCAATCTAATTCACGGCAAAATCACAACAGAAGCTTTAATCTCTCGGCATTTTGCAGGAACGGTTTCCCCTCTCTCCATATAACCCGAGCGCATCTCCAGGCTAAACTGATCTGACTGCTGCGTATCTTCCCGGAGCTGTCAGCCTCCCTTCGCATTTCCAAAAGGATGGCTGAATCCACCGCACCCAAACCCCCAATAAAGCAGAAAACGCCTAGGGATTTTTTACCGGCAAAATTCCCTGAAATGGGGAGCCCCCGGCGCCTTGAGCGCTCCCAGCGTCCCAGGAATTAGCCAGAGACCTAACTTAGTACCATAGCGCAGGCAGGAATAGGAAGGAGACGAATATGTGTGTGTATATACATCGCAAAGCCTTTGGCAGTTTATTCAGAATTATACTCCGCTTCAAATCAGTGTTAAGTCTAGGATCGACGTGTAGGAAATGCAGACTGAGAGAGTGAGTGACAAGACATCCAAGGGACAAACACAGGCTGGGACAATTCTGATGGAGTTCACCTCTCTGCTGCTGTCTCTCCTCCCTCCCCGCAACCCTAAACGGGTCTCAGTCGTACAGGGTTTAATTCAGGCTGCGGTTCTGGCTAGAAGCGGTTCTGGCTAGAAGCCCGCTTCGTCCCTGAGCTTCAAGGGCAAGCGCCGTCTTCCCAGGCGGGTTTAGGATTGGGCTGGCAACGTGTGAGCAAAGCAAAGCATTCCGCATTTTTATTTTTATTTTATCTAAAAGGCCCAAGGATCTAGCTGGTTGTTTGGCGGGGGTGGTGCGGAGAGCCGATCAAAGGAGCACTAATCTCTCCTTGGCATCGCGGCTGATTTGTTCCTTCGGCGGGCGAGGAGGCGAGCAAGCCAGCCGGCCAGCCCCGCGCTCTGGTAAAGAAGACGTTTGGGGGTAGCTCTCTCTCTTTTCCTCCTGCTCTTCTCCCCTCTCCGGAGCCATCCGCCTTGTCATTTTTCCTGTAGCCCCTCCCCTGCAGATCCAGCCCCCTTTCTCTCCCCCCCCCTCGTGTTTAACTAACTCAGGACACTAGCGCAAGATCCACGCCTAATTAAATTAATTAGGGATTCTTGTCAATCCTGGATTAATGGCCGAGAGCAACCCCTGGCCACTGGATCTGGAAGAGGGGGGTGGGAGGAAGCTGAGGGAGGAGGAGGAGGTCTCTCTTTCTATTTCCCTCCCCCCCCCCCGCTCGCTCTCCCTCCCTCCCCCTCCTTTCCCAGTTTGGCTCTTGTTCTCCTTGGTGGTGGTGCTGGGCTGCTCCAGGAGAAGGGGGTTCCTTCCCAGTTCCAAAGGGGAGGTAATTTGCTCCGAACAAGGGGCAGGCTTCGCAAAGTATAAATAGTGGGGACTTCAAGAGCTCCCAGCCCTATCAGATCTGAACTCTTGGCGGGGAGAATTGTCAAAGATCTTCGCGTTTTCACAAGCCCGCTCCAGTTGGGAGGCATCAGCTCCCCTTTAACTCTCCAGCCCCTCTGCGGCTTCTCTCTCTCTCCCCCCCCCCCGCACCTTGCCCACACCCTCCCCCCTCTTTTCTCCCACCCCTCCTCCTCCTCTTCTTCTTCTTCCTCCTCCTCCCTAACCCCCTTGATGTGTTTCTTGGGGGGCTTGGAGCAGCTAGAGGAGGCAAGCGAGGGCGAGGAAAAAAGAGCCCAGCGCAGCGCCGGCGATGGAAGAACTTACCGCTTTTGTTTCCAAGTCGTTTGATCAGAAAGTGAAAGAGAAAAAGGAGCTCATCACCTACCGGGAGGTTCTGGAGAGCGGACCCGTCCGGGGAGCCAAGGAGTCCGGAGGATCCAGCGAGCCCGGCCGCGAGGACGGCAGCAGCCCCGCAGCTCGGGGGGCGGCCGGAGCAGGAGGCGGCGGCGGCGGCGCAGGTGGCCGGTCGCCGGTCCGAGAGCTGGACATGGGCGCCGTCGACAGGGCCAGGGACACGGGCACCCCCAAGCTCAGCGAAGGTAACGAGCCCTCCTCTGCCCAGCGGGTCGGGGGGCGCGCCTGGCAGGCTGGCTAGAGGCAGGGGACCGCGCGTAAAGAACCAGATGCTGGGAGTACTAGGGGGAGGGGGAGAATCGGGGGAAGGGTGCTTCCTGGGGTGGGCGGGGTGGGGACCATGTGTGTGGTTTGACTCCGAGGACCCCCACCACCACCTCCCCAAATGCGCGCTGTTACGTCCGGTTGGACCTCAGCGGCGGGGGAACTTGCCAGGGAACGGATGGAGGAGGCAGAGCGCGCGCGTTGGCGTCCAGACGCGGAGCCGGCTGGTCTTTTCGACTGGGGGAAAGAGCCCACTCCATTAATGTGGATGGATACTTTTTCTGGGCCGTTTCAAAGCGGCCAGATTGTGAGAACACCGCAAGCCGGCCATCGCTTGACCGTAGGCTGCTAGTCTGGGACCTGATAATGTGTGGCGCGTTTTTCCTGGCTGAACTCTAGCTATGTTTGGGGGATGTGGGCTTTTTTTGTTCTTTCTCTCTTCCCAATCCCAAGGAAGGGAATCTGTAAAATCACAATCTCTCGCCCTCCTGGGTTAGGCAGACCATAGTTTGGCTTGTGCATGTGTGTGTCTAGTTATATGCACAAATATTTCCTCCGTGAGTAGATGGGAAGAATAAAATCCTGATTGTCAGGCTTTGCGTTGAGCTGTTCTGGAAACGGTGACAGGTTTTTGAATCCGGGAGGTTATCCCTGTAAAGGTTCCAATATCTTCTCCCGTTTAAAGTAATTTACGCAGTCTAGGAGCCCAATGTATTGTAAATTAAGATGTGCCGACTATTTTGTTCCCAATTGAGCGAAAATAATATATGGCTCCGAGTTCTAGCTATCAAAATATTTAAGCAGAGAATTAATTTGCTCCTGCTATGTAGACCCTTTCCTATTTGCAATGTAAAATGAGGGGGAGGGGATGTGGCACTGGAAACAAATGCGAAATTAAACGAATTTATTTCTGTTTAAGGCGGCTTAGAAAACTCCCTAAATATCATTAAAAGTTTGAAACGCAGTTGTTTATTTGTGAATGAAAGTATCAAATATTGGGCACACTAAAAGAAGGGAGCCTATATGGTACTTCTTTTTCTCCAAGTGCATTTCCTAGGAAGGGTGAATAGTTATATGAAAACAAACCATACATTTCTAAGTAGTTATGCAATGTTAGGAACACTGCTTATAAGTAATACTGAAATCCAAGCGAAGTGTTTCGCTTTTATTCCTCGATGCTCTCGACTTCTTTAAGATTTTATACTGGTGTGTAGGGTGGTGGGGGAGAGGAAGAGGAATAAATGATAATGCGCTTTGCAAAAAACAACAACACCAAACCTCTCCTGTTTGCTTATCCAAAGATCCCCTCGGCTTTCAAGCATATTTGAATACCTGCGTGCGGTTTGAGGATGCAGATGTCATAGTCGAGGGAGGAGGGTTTATTTCAACTCTTTTGTTCAAGGAAAGTAGCTCTCTCCAGGTCGGAACTGAACAGCAGACATCATCCGGAAATGATTTTATAAACAAATTCTGAATATGATTAGAGACCAACGCAGCTCCAGTAAACAAACTTCGGCGTGGCGGTGGGCAAATACATTCGGGGAGGGAAGGAAGGAAGCAAGCGGGAGAACCCGGTTTGTAGATTAGGAAACCCCCCACAGCCTGAATGAACCGCGTCACGCCGCCACGTTTACACCGGGCCTAGTGTCCAAAGCGAAATGTGTGAAACGGTTGGTGCTGCGGAAGAACAGACGGGAAACGAGCAATACTTTAATCAACGGGCACGGCGTTCTGCACAGTAATATCAGGTCGGAAGGTCCCTGCCCCAAGGAGCCTACAATATATATTTCGACAGGGTGAAGGGGAAACAGACGGAGGTTTAGTGGGAGGAAGCAGGAGGGTGATCAAACTTTACGCACTCTTCTTAGTTCAAAAACAGTTGCTCCGATAACGATACCATTTAGGGAGCTCGTTCTCCACCTCCCTAGTAAATAAAGGCAAGCATGCCTTGACTTCCCCGCAAGCAGGAGGCTTCAAGAAGCCATAGCAGCGGCGGTCGCGCGTCAGATCCCCCATCGACACCTGCTGCTGTGATTTTGAAAAGGTGCCACTTGAAAGGCCACGCGGGTTTCACAGCAGCCAGCGCCAACGTCGAGAAGACGCGGAGCGTAACGGCGCTGCAGTTCTATGGGATCTTGCCGGCGCTTTCAATGGGAGGCGTGCCGTGACCGGTGCGAGAGGGAGGAAGGGAGACCTTAAAGTCTTTGGGACTTCGGGGCGTGCGTATTCCGGACTTGTTTCTTCTTGTCCCGAACCGGAATTGGGGAAAAGAGGTCCCTCTCCCTCTCTTCCTCCTGAGAAGACGGTGGAGCTCTCAGGACAGACCTGCTGCCCCTTCCCAGACAGGTGTAGACTACGCATTGCTCGGAGCGTCTCTCCTAATAATAATAATAATAATAATAATAATAATAATATCGCTGTCAAAGACCAAGCTGACCGCTGTGCAGGAGGAGAGCCAGCTCTTGGGCAGATTTTTAAAGTCTTTCTAGACTTAAACTTAACACACACAAATAAATAAATAGGATGGACCTGCGTTCTGCGGTGGCTTTGGGAACTGCTGGCAGAAACCCCGGGCCCTCCTCGATCAAACCGCGCAGGTCAGCGCCCTTAGAACTGAAGCAGGCGCCCGGGTCCGGGCAGGGCAAAACAAAAGTTGAGGAGGACAGGGGCTGGTCCTTTGGAAATAGAGAACTCTCTTCCCAATGACTAGGGTGGGCCTTCCTAGCCTGGAACAAGATCCAGGGCAAAACTATTCAGGGAAAGTCTGCGATCCCATAAAAGCACACTTGTAAGACTGCATGCTAAGACTTGTGAATACCTTTTTGAACTCAGTGTGGCTTTTAACTTCTGTGTAGAAGTACCTAGGATTGCGCTGTGGGAGCAGCGGTGATATATATGTGGGGGGTATAAACATAACGCATAAATGTAAGTCCCACTGGATTCAACGAGGCTTACACTTCCTAGGAAGTGCAGCCTCTAAGTTCCTCCTTTGATCGTCCAGAGGACGTGCTGCTTTCCTTCTGGTGGGCCTGGGATCTGAAGCGAAGCCACGAGCGACCCGGGCCAGGCTGCGCCCTCGGCTGCACAGGCGCCGGGTACCAGCTCGCGGGGCTCTGCTTGGGCCCTCCTTCGCTTCAGCCTCGCCACTGGGAAGAGAGGTGACCTTTGAGCGTTTCATTGATCCCTGCCACCGCTGCTCCTCCTCCTCCTCCTCCTCCCCCCACTTCTGCTTGACTTAAGGTAAAACACAAGTGGGGGAAGGGCCAGAGCTCAGTGGCAGAGATTCTGCTTTGCATGTAGAAGGTCCCAGGTTCAATCCCCGGCGTCTCCAGGTAGGGCTGGTGAGAGAGATTCGCCGGCCTGAAATCGCAGAGAGCCGCTGCCAGCCAGTGCAGACAATCCTGAACTCTATGGACCAAGGCTCTGATATGGCATAAGACAGTTTTTGTGTTTGTTGGAAACCCAGATCAGGCGCTGGCCTCGTGGTTCAGGGATGGTTGGGTAGTTGCTTTTTTGTTTTGTTTTGCTTGTGTGTCTCTGGTGGTGTTTTGGTTTTGCCTCTTTATTTTGTTGTTGTTGTTGCTCCGTCTCCAGTTTCCCCCGAGCTGAAGGACCGCAAAGAGGATGCCAAAGTGATGGAAGACGAAGGACAGACGAAAATCAAGCAGAGGAGAAGCCGGACCAATTTCACCCTGGAGCAGCTGAACGAGCTGGAGAGGCTCTTCGACGAGACCCATTACCCGGACGCTTTCATGAGAGAGGAGCTCAGCCAGAGGTTGGGTTTGTCCGAAGCTCGGGTGCAGGTAAGCATGGAAATCCTTTCGGCTTCTGCTGGGGAGGGGCTCCTCCACGAGGATCCTGGGAAGGGACCTTCATACGGACTAGCTGCCCTGGGAGCTGCCACGACTCCGGATTCATTCCCACTGCGCTCCGTTCCGAACCAAGAGGCTTAGGATCGCGCGCTGCATTGGCAAGCAAGTCACAAAGTGGACTTGCTTCCTCTTTCATGGATGGTTGGTAGCGGTAGGTTCGGATCCGGTGGGTGCCCTTCTTCTGCAAGCTTTTGCTTGGGGGGGGGGGTGAATAGTATGGCGCTAGGAGAGGAAGGGGGCTTCCACCAAAAGGTTGTTCCTGGTCCTGAGTAGACAAGAGTGGCGAATCCGGAGTACAGCAGACCTTGTGTTGTAGTATCTGCGCGCTTTCGGCCTCATCCTAAATGTACACCTATGAGTTGGGAGGAAATGTCATTTCCTGGTGCGTTTTGCTTAGGGGCTACAAGGGGCTGTTTCCATCTTCATAGAAGAATTTTGCTTCCATAGTTCCGCCAACATCGAGATGTGCTGGCCTCTCTTGTGTCCCATTTCTTCCGATTCTCCGCTTGCTATCTTTAGAACCATCCAGGTCTATGGTATTTTACAGTATCATTTTTTAACAAAAAGCAAAGGTCTCTGCCAGAAAGAGCTTACAATCTAAAACTGAAACAGTAGCTAGTGAGAAAAAATTGAGCCAATTGAGGAGAGTGAACAGTGCTCAAAGTAGGCGTGTAAGTGTGGTTGGTAGTGTGCTTAAGTGCGGTTTCTATGACTTCGGATAGCTAAGCTTTCCGTGTGGGGGAAAATACCGAGTCCATGTGTATTATATTCTCCTTCTGCCTTTAAACATTGATCCTAGCTCAGTTTCTTTTCTTTCTTTCTTTTTTAAAGTAGAAGGCGGATGTATGAATTAACTTTATAGAAGGGCTGACTAATAAACGAAATTGGGAGTTGCTAAAGTGTACACAGTTACAGTCCATTTACTTTTTTTAAAAGGGGAAGTAATTAAAAAAATCCCCCAGGGACTCAGAAAAGGAACAGATACAGGCAGCGCGGGGCTTGGATAATGCAGCCGGATTTCAAAGAGCTGTTTGGAGACCATCTTCCCCTTACACCGTCCAGAGATTGCTGGGGATCTTTGTCAAGCTGCCCCCGTCCCCCACCCCCAGAGGGGAAAAAAGAGGCTCTGGTCCAGAAAAGGCAGGACTTGGGTCCAGAGGTAGAAGCGCGGCTCCAGCCAGAGGCCCGGAGACCCTTGTCCAGCGGGAGCGAAGGCGACCCGTCATTCCAGCGTCGTTTCCGCAGAAAACTGGGCCGCCTTTGTAGGAACACATGGAGAGCACTTCCAGGCCCCCCGAACATCTGCAGCCGGGAGGCTAAGCAGCGACTCCTGGCTTGTAACAGATACCTTCTCTCTCCCGCCCCCCTTCCTTCCATCTTTGTTGCTCGTAGGCTCTGCCATCTGCACCAAAACGGCTCTTCGGCTCTTAAAGGCTTTTTCTCTGCATCTTGTAATCGGATAAAGGCAGACACTGAACAGCCACGTTGTAGCAAAGGGCTGTGTGTGTGTGTGGGTTTGTGTGAGAGACAGTGCTGGGGGAGAGCAGAATTTTTGAAAGACATCGCAGCTTAAAGAAAAAGATTCTTCCTTCTTTTTTATCTGCCTCTGCTTTTCTGATTTTATAAACACACACACACCACGCTATGGAGTGTGGCTGTATGTCCATATCTATATTATATATAGATTTCTATGTAGGCGGCGATACCTACGGAGGGAGATTTGCCTGACTCAACAAAAGAATAACCAGTGCCCACCATAATCCATACAGAATAACTTTCAGAGATTTGCATAAATTAAGGCCTCCTTCCTTTTAAATGGCCCCAGAAAACGCTTCGCTGTGATTTTGTTTCAAACTTTGCTTCCCAGCTCCCATTGGCAGATGGTGAGAAGGCGAGCCTGGAAGGCGGCAGGGGTATGCGCTGGAAGCTGAAATGAACGCCCCCCCCCTTCATTCTTCCCTAGCCATCTTTACTCGGAAGTAGACACCGTGGGTTTACTTTCGAGTGAGCACGCTCAGGCGCGCAATCTAACGGCGCGCTTTTCAAAGGTGTGTTGCTTTGTGAAAATGCACAGGATCGGACTGCGCGGTCGCGATCTCGTGCAAGTTCGTGTTGACCGGCTCCCAGGTCAGCGGGCTCAAAGCCCGATCTTGTTGCCTGGAAGAGGGACCGACTCTGCTCAGGGGGCCTTCGGCTCGGAAAGCGCAACCAGGATGGCGACCTCCGGCTGTCATAATTTTCAGGATCGGTTGGCATATCTTGCTTCCTTGGAAGGAAGCGCCATTGAAAGAAACGTCACACTACGTGTGTCAGACTCCTGGGGTGTTCGTTTGAATGTGGAAACGGACAGGATTCGTGCCTCCAGATGTTGACAGTTTAAAGAATAAGATCCCAATCAGCCTTCACGTCTCTCGTTGCCCCTCCTCTCCTCCCCCGCCTTTAAAAGGGTCTTGAGGGAAGAAGGATCACATGATAGTGAGGACCTTTGAGATGGAAAACAGATCTCTCCCCCCAGCGCTTTCCCCCAATATATAAACCCGGGCTCAAGATTTTAAAGCACTTTTAAGTTCCATTGATTTCAGTGGCAGAGAAACACACTCCCACTGAAATGAATGGGGCTGAAATAAGTGCCCGATCCTCTACCCCTCCCCGGTTTACTCGGAGGGCAGTCCTTCTGAGTTCAATGGGACTTACTCCCTAGCAAGCAAACCTTCTTGAACTCAGTGGGGCTTACATCTGCGTGGAAACGCATAGGGTCGGGCTGCCCAAGCACACCGGCCTGGCCCCAAGGCTGTAGGTACACCTCATATTCTCTCTCTCAGGTTTTCAAACTTTTCCCCATTTCCAACTGCCAAAGTTATCTCCTTGCCTGGAGTGAAGCTCTCTCTCCCCCCCCCCCATCTCTTCCGATGGCAGCAAATTAGATTATCATAATAATGAGACAATTATTCCGCTTCTGTGTTACACTCCACTGCACAGAGGAACAGAGAATTTTCCAACTTCTTTGTAGTGAAGCTTTTATGACAGTAATTACCCCCCAAAAGTGAGTCATTAAACGCTTTGGTGTTTCGTTTTTCTTGAAGATAAAGCTAATTAATATTACAGGCTTTTAATGAGCGCATTCTTCTCGGGTCTTATTGCGCAAACATCTAAACCCCTTTATCACTAGTTTTTTGTGTGGTGTGTGTGTGTGTTTTAGCATTAGATAGCACGGCGAGATGGAGGGGAGGGGGGAGGCCTGGTGGGGATTCGGCTGGCGAAAGATGAAACGGGCCCGGAGAAAGTAATTGAGCAAGAACCAGAACAGGCGGCAACTGTCCATATCCTAGAACTGCGCTCTTTTAAGTTCCGATTCTAAAGCGGGTAGGGAGGGAGCGACGCTCAGGCAAAGTTTAGGAGTTCGTCAGCTTCATCCCAGGCCCATCCTAGGCGCCTTCCTTGCCTTTCCAATGCTGGTGGTGCAATCTACTCCCGAGGGCCGGAGGGACATGCAACTGGCCCCTGGCATTGTAATATTTCCCATTCGTTTTAGCAAAACGACTCCTAAGTAAACTCTCCCCTCCCTAAAACGCAGTTTGGAATTATAATTAGCAACAAAACGGCCCTTCTATCCTAACCCAACGGGAACTAGCCAAATTTCGCCCATCTAACTCCCCTGCTTAACGGGAGCGATCCTATTCTAGTCTACTCAGAAGTAAGTCCTATTGTGAGTTCAGTGGGGTTTGCTTCCATGTCGGTGTGTATAGGATTTTAGCTCTTAACTGAAGATTAAATGTAAGGGCTGTGCCTCACTTTTACTCGGAAAGGGAGTGAGTTGAACTGATTTTACTCGTAACTCTTTCCAAGTAAGGCTGCACCTTGCACTCTGAGCACACCTACTTGGATAAACTTCTACTGAAACGTGGGTCTTGCTCCGGAGTAAATATGCAAAGTTTTCAGAAGCATCTTTCTTTAGGATTCAAGCCTAAAATAGTAACTGTGAAAGAGGAAAAGGAGACTGATACTTTGGATTTGTTTTGGGTCGGAACTGAGGCGGGGGGGGGCAGAGAGAAGGTAAGGGAAATCAGAGAACTAGGTTGGTATTGCATGTGAAGATGCACAGAGTTACGGATTCAGTTACTGGCTTGTGTAATTGTGTGTGTGTTGAAGTTCTAGGGGACTACTTTTATATGAGCTAAAGAATTGAAATGTGGAGCACGTGTAGTCCAAGGAAGTTGATTACTGTAAATATCTGAAAACAAGACTCCCTCCCCAAACAGAGGAGACTCCATGTTGCAGCTCAAAATGGTCACTCTCAAACTATTCGAGAATTTGAAACTTGCTACACAAGTCATCCCAATTTCTAGACTCCTCTGAACGCGAAACCCTTTGCTGTTTTCTCTTTAAAAAGTCGAAGCAAGATTTTGTCACCTCCCAACAGTTTACGTGACGCGCAGATGGCTGAAATCTGGCACGCACGTAATCCAAAATTCTCTGAAGTGCAACATTTCGAAAGGGATACATTTGCTTCTCCCTAGAAACGGGAAGGGAGGGGGCTTGTTGACCCCCAAATCGTTAAGAAACTTCAATAAAACTGAAATCTGGTTATGTGGTTTACTAAACTTTCTTGATTACTATGTAAACTCTTAAAAAAAGAAAGAAAAAAGGACATGTTTGCACCTAACAGTGTAACCCTATTCATGGCTACCCAGAAGCCAATCCTACTTGGTTTCGTGAGACTTTTCCCCAGGTAAATGCGCGTAGGGTTGTCTCCTAAGTGTCCAATTTACTGGCGTGTTCAGATGCAAACCAAAGAGGTCTCGCTTGCCCCTTTAATAGTAATACAGAAGAAAGAATTTCAGCGCCTGTGGCTTGTCATGAAACTATTAAAGGTGCATGCAAGACCCACCTCCTCGTTCGCCTCTGGACACCCTGGTCAAAACTGTGGGCCTAGATTATTTTAGGTCGCACGCGCAGTGCGGAGTTTCCAGTAAGATTTGGATTGTGGAGAGGAAGGCTCCCAGTAGGAGCCAGGAAGATAACGCTGCTGGGGTCATTGACTGGTTTTAAGCATGGCCAGAGAAATCACTGTGTGCAGATAAATAGATAGATGCGGCTTTGTATTGAGCTCGCCTTCTTCCTGTCTGCGCAGGTATGGTTTCAGAACAGAAGAGCTAAATGCAGAAAGCAAGAAAACCAACTCCACAAAGGTAGGTGAATTTTATCAGCGGCGCGCGTAAACGGGTTCAAACGTTTCTGGCCCAGGGAATACAACCCTCCCCTTTAAATTCTAGGCTCTTGGGGCCTCGTTTTGCCTCTCCCCCAAACCTCCAGGCTCTTCCTTGCCTAAGGCTGCACACTTACCTGGAAATAAGCCCCATTGGGCACGATACGCGCCGCCAACGCGCAAAGAGCCAAGGGAGCATTCCCAGCGAAGTGAAATAAAAAATAGATGTCCTGTGCTTTTTAGCTCAGTTTCTGACCGATCCCTGCCTCTGTTCTTGCAGGAGTCCTCATAGGAGCAGCCAGCCAGTTTGAAGCGTGCCGGGTTGCCCCCTACGTGAACGTGGGCGCTTTGAGGATGCCTTTCCAGCAGGCAAGTACAAAGGGAGAATCCCGGGGGCGTCAGCCCCATAATGGTAGGAAGGGCCACAAGATGGCCTTCCCGCAGGTGCCCCATTATCTCTCTCTCTCTCTGGTTTGTCAATCATATGCGCAAAAGGAACGTTTAAAAGTTGCATTTCTGCGGGGAGGAGATTGGACGCGTTTGTGTTTTGTCTGGGCACTGAACACTCCGATCTTGAGTGCATGTGCCGTGCAGTCCGACCCGGTCTCTGTGTGCTTTCTTGGAAACAAGCTCCTGTTGAGCTCAGTGGGACTTGGCCAGCGCGTATTAAAGGCGCGCAGGGCGGCTGCTGCTGCAGCTTTTCTGCCGTTCGGTGCTGCAGATTCAAATGGTGGTACTGATTTAAAGGGGAATTTTGTCCCATTGGTCTCGAAGGGAGCTTAATTCCTAGGAAGAGTGCTTAGGATCCGCATAGTCCGAAATGTGCTGAGGCGGCATTTGTGCGTACCAGGGGTCGGGAAGTGAATCTGGGTTTCCCATTAGATGCTCAGGGGATCTCGTTCATGCTTAGTATCTGGAAACGCCGTGGGGTTTCCTTTCTCGAAAGTGGAACGCAGGAAGTTATACAGTACCGAGTCCGATCATGAGTCCAGCTGGTTCAGGATTGTCCAAAACTGACTGGAAGTGACACAGAGATGGGTGTTCCCAGTAATACCTGGAGTTGGCAGGGATTGAAACTGGGAGCTTTGGCATGAAAAGCAGATGCTCTACCACGGGGCTGTGGCAGAGGACCACAGCTTTAAGGGCTCATTTAAGCCAGGTTCTATCTCAACCTCCTATGCATGTTTACTCAGAACTTAAGGCGTTTAATGTGGCTTATTGCCTAGTAAATTCACATAGGGTGGCAGCCTCAGTGAGCCTGCCCAGCTCTCTGTAGGCTCCTGTGAATTCCTGAGCTGCCACCCAAATGAGAGGAATTGATTTTGATGGGTTTATCAATGCAAAAATACATAAGTGTGCATGACTATACGGTGTGTGTATTTATTTAATTCTAGTAATACGATCAGTAGGGGGGTGGCCAGTTGTGGTGGTTTCTTGAAAAAAAAAAAACACCTCAAGTTTTATGTGGCTTTATGAACTAGCAGGCATGTAGTCTGGATTAATTTTAACAGAAGAGCCTGAGTCCTACAGATACCACTTTTATTTCCCCCTTTTAGAGTAGTGTCTATCTTTAGCAACCTACATTGGTAATGAAAAGAAAACCTTACAAGCCTGATGGTAAGGTATCCCTGGCACAGTCAAGTCCTCTTCCAAAGTGGGCAGCTTGTTATCCTCCTAACATTTTTGGCCTTAAACTCCCACCAGGCCCAGCCAGTGTCGCCAACGGCCTCACATGATGGGAACTCTGGCATAACTTCAATGGGCATAGACATTCCTAACTCAGCCCCTGCCCTGAAATATGGTAATTACTTGGAAGTTATCTTCAGCTGATTTCAACAGAGCTTCTAAGTAATCTAATTAAGAATAAGTATGTTGGACCTCAAAACTCAGTGGGTTCTTCTTCCATACCTTTCGTAGATTAATTGTCTTCTGTCCTAGAGAAGTTGCACATTTCAGGCTTATTGACCTCAGTGGTCAATGTTCTAATGGCAATGATATTGGTGTGCTTTAAATTGAAACGGCTCATCATTTGGTTGTAGACAAATAGCTATCTCTTAAGCACTGGTTCTAGGCACATGAAACTCAGTGGGGCTAACCTCTGACTAAACATGCATGAGCCATGTGTAGATTGAGAGATTCTCCCTTGCGAAATGAGGGTAAGGAGGGGAGAGAGAAGACTCTGCCGGCCGTCTGCATCCATGATAAATAAAAGCAGTGGCAACAATAGTTGTCTCAAACTGTGGATGGTGCTGGGGTTGATAAGGTGTGGGTAATAACACCATAAAGGTCATATGGGAGATGACTGAGAGCAACAGATGTGTACAGTCATTAGAGAGCTGAGAGGAAAGGAGCAAGATAAAGGAGGGCCCTCTGCACTGTCTTGATGCTATCAAGGCTGCAGTCTTGAAGTTCAGTGGCATTTAAGCAAACTGAATGTGTGCAGGATTGTAGCCAAGGGCAGGTTAGCATCCACGGCGAATGCCTGTTTCTCCTTTTGCTCTGTTTTTTTTTTTTTAAATTAAATGGACCTTAGGGCAGGATAATTACTTCACCTGTCTTCAGATGGTGTGGACAGATGAGCAAGCAAAAGTGTTTAGAAAAAAATGGTCAAAGCAGATGAGTGAACAAGCAAACTGGACAAAAAGGGCAGTTAAGCCCATTCATTGGAAAGCAGGAGTCTGTGTTAAGTGTAGAGGGAGGAGAGAAAGAGAAGTGCAGCCAATTAGCCTCTATTTTGCTTATGGTTAGTCAACTAGCATGCAAAACCAGCTGGCAGTAACCGCAAGCAGAAAACCAGAAGCAGTCGACACAAGAGGGTACCTCTTAGCCATAGCCAAAGAAGCACTACTTATGAGTAGAGCCTGAAATAAGGTACATGCTGCTGGCAGAAGGCACACGAAACTGACAAGTTAATCAATGTAGGACATAGCCCAACTAGTCAGAAGTTCAGGGAGATTAGGAAGGAGCACCCATCCACAGATCAGTGCATACTTACTGCATTTCACAAGGCCGTCCAGGAGAAATAGCTTGCATATTTAACCAAATCACCAATTGGATTGTCTGCCAACCAGAAAGGCTTAGTTTACAAGAGGAAATGTGCTAGGCAGGGATGGGGAACGTGTGGTCCTCCAGCAGTTTTTGGACTTCAGCTCCCATCAGTCTCAGCCAGTCCAGTAAACTCAGAAGAAAGGCGACCAGGGATTATGCATGCCAACGGTCAGAAGTGATGGGAGCTGTAGTCTAGTAACAACTGTCAGGCCACAGGTTCCCATCCCCGCGCTGGAGGATTATGCTTGCATGAAAGTAACATAATGTGACCTGGAAGTCTTTTGCACAATCCCTAAAATATGACAGTGAGGGGTAACACTCTGCACATGTTTATAGGATGAATACTATCACTTGGCTCAGGGCTCAATGAGTCAAGGCTTAGACCTGTTATAATACAGGCTCTGTGACTGCGCTCAGAAGCAGTTTTTCCCCACTACTTGGGAACTACAGAAAGACCTCACATGCTTGGGATTAAGCCAGAGGTTTTCAACCTTTTTGAGTTCATGGCTCCCTTAACCAACTACAGTGGACGCTCGTGTTGCAAACGTGATCCACGCAGGATGCATGTTTGCAACCCGCGGGTTGCGATTCGGCGCTTCTGCGCATGTGCAAAGTGTGATTTAGCAAATGCGTGACCGCCAAAACCTGGAAGTAACCCGTTCTGGTACTTCCAGGTTTTGCCAGGTCCGCAACCCGAAAAAACGCAACCTGAAGTGTCTGTAACCCGAGGTATGACTGTACATTCTTTTTGCGGCACCCTGTGGGGCTCAGGAGCCCAGTTATGTCACCCCTTGCCTGCAGAGCTGGCAGCCTCTCACCCTTTTTCAAACACCCTCCCTCAGCCTCCTCTCCCCTCTTCTTGGGGGTCCTCCAGGCATCTGCTGCTGACACCCCAGTCTCTGAGCTCACCCCAAAGAGAGGTACCTCCTCACGCTGCCCCACGGGGGCCTGGGAAGATGATGCTCCCAGCCTTAGTGGCCCAGCGGACACTGGCCAAAGGTGAATGTGAGGCCAGCACCTTACCTTGGGAGGCAGCAGCGGCACCAGTGGGTGCTTCTGGGCCTGCTTGGTGGAAAGACGCCCCTTCAGCACGGGGCACTTGGCTCCCAGGCAGGTCTTGCACACAGCAAGCACAAGAAAGGCCAGCCTGGCCTCCCACTTGTCTGTCCATTGCCAGCCGCAAGGGCTGGTGGACTGGCTGGCTGGGCTTCCTCGCCTGCTTGCTTGCTTACTCCAAGGCTGCCTCAGCTTCTGGCAACCAGCACTCCCTGGCCAGCCCCAGAGGTACCATTCGCCTGGGGAGCTTGTAGCCAGGGCGCTGCAACAAACAGCTGTGCAAGCCTTTGGGAGGCAGAGATGCGAGAGGGCATCAGAGTATAGGGGAAGGAAAAAGGGATGGAGGCCAGCGTTGCCTGCGGCACCCCTGACCATCATGTAAGGCACCCCAGGGTGCCATGGTTGAAAACCACTGGATTAAGCAATAAGTGTGTCTTTTTCAGAAATAGCCTGTCTTAAATAATCACTCAAGGACCTGGGGGAAAAAATCACAAATTGTGGTCTGGCTATAGGTAAAGGTAAAGGGACCCCTGACCATTAGGTCCAGTCGTGGCCGACTCTGGGGTTGCGGCACTCATCTCACTTTATTGGCCAAGGGAGCCAGCGTACAGCTTCCGGGTCATGTGGCCAGCATGACGAAGCCGCTTCTGGCGAGCCAGAGCAGTGCACGGAAACGCCGTTTACCTTCCTGCTGGAGTGGAACCTATTTATCTACTTGCACTTTGACGTGCTTTCCAACTGCTAGGTTGGCAGGAGCAGGGACTGAGCAACAGGAGCTTACCCTGTCGCGGGGATTCGAACCGCCGACCTTCTGATCGGCAAGTCCTAGGCTCTGTGGCTATGCTGTGCTCTAATTCTAAAGCTGTGGGGGACTGGCTATGATTACTTGGGTCCTAAGGAAAGGCATTCTGCACATGCTCAGGGACTTTTGTTTTGACAGAGGCCAGATATTTCAGGACTGTGATAGAAGTTCTGAAGCTGAGGTGTATACCTCAAATGCCGTTAACTGGTTATTGCTTTCCTGAATATGATGACCTGGTTGTTTCAGTGCCAGCAACTAGGTTTTGGTTAGTTTTCTTCATTCATTCATTCATTTGGAAACTGTCTGGTAGCTGGGGCGGTTGCCTTGCATAGAGAAGGGTCCGGGTTCAGTCCCCAGTATCTCCAGGTAGGGGTTGGACAAACCTAGACCTGGAGGCCCAGCGTGCTGCTGCCACTGCTCATTGTAAGGGTAGCCATCTATACAGAGATGGATTGGACCCATGGTCTGACTTGGTACAAGGCAGCTTCCTGTGGTGTTGTGCAAATGTAAGGCTTCGGTGCTAATGGATTAAATTCCATTGAACACTGATGATGGTTTTCTTCCCAGTAAGCATGCTGCACAAATCACAGAGTGATAGAATGGTAGCATTGGAAGGGACCGCGAGGGTCATCTAGCCCAACCCTCTGGCATGCAAGAATCTTTCGCCCACCGTGGGGCTCAAACAGAGATTAGGTGTCTCATCAACCCAAAATAAATCCACGCTGCAATCTTAGTTACATTTTGCTCAGTGAAAGTCCCACTCTTCCCAGTGGGCCTTACTATTAGGCACAAAGGGTTGTAGCCCTCAATCCAGCCGCAATCAGACTTGTGCGCACAAACCCTTCTCTCTCTCTTTTAAAGGCAGGTACTAAAACAAAAACACAGAGCCTAAGCCTAAGCATCTTCAGTGCTCCATTTATGAAGAGTAACATCCTGTGGCCTTTTAATATGTGGTGGGTTTTTGTGGGGAGGGTGGTTATTGGGTTGTTGTTGTTATTTTGATTACATATTTTGCAGTTTCATAATTTGATTTTGTGAAGTGCCCTGAGACCTCCTGGCAGTCTAGGGCAGTTATATAAATTCAACAAATAAAACAGAACAAAATGAGGGGAAAGGTAGCAAAGGGGGATCCATGCAAGCCACAAACCCCAAAGAATCTTCTTCCTCGGTTAGTCAAACCACGCACCCCTTTAGTCTCTTCCCCACCCCGCTATAAACAAGAAGTAGCTGAGGGTGGCACTGAAAGTGTATTGAGAAGTCAAGTCTCCTTGAGTTCCGCGGGCCTTTCCCCCTGCCAAGTGGGCTGAGGCGGCTTGGAGCCCTGGAGGCTGCGGGGAGGGCTTGAGATGGCGGTCGTCCTAACACTCTTGTCTTCCCCCCTCCCCTTTCAGGACAGTCATTGCAACGTGACGCCCTTGTCCTTTCAGGTGCAGGCGCAGCTGCAGCTCGACAGCGCCGTGGCGCACGCGCACCACCACCTCCACCCGCACCTGGCCGCGCACGCGCCCTACATGATGTTCCCGGCGCCGCCTTTCGGGCTCCCTCTGGCCACGCTGGCCGCCGAGTCCGCCTCGGCCGCTTCGGTGGTGGCGGCGGCCGCGGCGGCCAAGACCACCAGCAAGAACTCCAGCATCGCGGACCTCAGACTCAAAGCCAAAAAGCACGCGGCCGCCCTGGGCCTGTGACTCTTCCTGCAGCCTCAGCCGCCGCCGCCGCCGGGGCACGTTGCAATCCCAGCGCGCGCGTGCGCAGAAGACTGCCCGCCGCCTCTTCCTCCTCCCTCCGCGGCCAGCTCTCCTCTACTGAGGCCGACACGGAGCCGGAGGAAGGGCTTTGCCACCCCCCACTTTCTGTCTTGGTCCTGCGCGACTTAAAATGTGAAAGGCGAAAGAAGCACGAGGCGTTCCCCGGAACGAAACAATTCTCTCTATATTATAGACCCAAGGCGATGAACAAATAAAAGGAACAATGTGGGTGTTTTTTTCCGTTTTAAATGGAGGGAGGGGAAGAGCTCCCTTCTACTACTGCTAATAATATAATAAGAATACTAAGGAGGAGAAGAAAACGTAGAGCTTGCTCAGAAACTGGCGGGAAGATATATACTTATTTAAAAGAATTAGATGAAATAGACGCGCAGCTGGGAAGTTCACAGGTTTTGAAACTGACCTTTGTCTGCGAAGATCACTTTAATACGAGAAATTTGATAAGAGAGGCGGGCCTCCTTCCACGTTGCATCAGATACTTGAGTTTTAACAGCCACAGTCTGGAAACGGAGATGAGAAGGAAAGAAGAATTTAAAAATTGGGGGTAGGGGCGGGGGGGCGGCGGTGGATTTTTTTATATATAAAAAAAATGTGTGTGCGTGTGTGTGAAAGAGAGAGAAAGACAGACAGACAGACGGTTATTTCTCTGCCAATTTCCAATGGGAAAAGTGAGTGACCGGGACTCTTCTTCTACTCGTGGAGTTCCGGGTCTGCATGTATTTGTTTGCTTTTATTTTTATTTGTTCTTGGCGTCCCTTCGGATCATTTGCACTTCACCTCGATCAGAACCACCATCACAAAAAGAAAAAAAACCCCTACACAAAACGAAGCCAAGTCTCTGGATCCCCCAAGAGAGAGATTTTAACCCAAGGCCCCGATCCGGAGAAACCAGCCTTCTGACCTTATGCATAGCCTAAGCTCCTTGAAATCACTGCGGGGACAGGATTGTAGCCTCAAGTAAGCACTGAAGTTTACAATCCTCTCTGCAAGGGAAGATAAAACTCCCACTGAGCACAGGGGCTTACTTTCGAGTAAGCAGGCGCCCTATGACCCGCAGATTTCGGATTTTTCTCACCTCTCCAAAAGCCCCCCCCCAAAAAACCCCAACAACCCCCGTTTTGGGCTCAGCAGTCGAGCTCGATGAGGTCTGGAGATTTCGAAAGTTTGTTGGTGGCATTTTGGTTGGTCTTCATCGCAAAAAAAGCTATTACCACCCTGGTAGAATTTTGAATGCCTTCCACACTTAATGGACCATCTCGGCGGCTTCTGTTTTCCAAGCCGAGCAGAGGAGACTCCACCTCGCATCAAAATCAATAGTCAGTCGCGACTGACATAAATTCTATTGATTTCGATGGAATTGATGCGCGACTAACTGTATCCGGATCGGGGCTTCCAGCTTTTTTTATTATTATTATTTAAGGGTGGGTGTAGAGGGGGAAAACACCACCACTATCTGATTTCCAACCCTAATAAGTAAGGAAACAAATAGCAGTTTGTTTTCACCCTTCCCACCCCAAGATAAAGATTGTATTGCACCCACGAGCAGCCGCAATGCCACGTCCCAATAATGACAGGAAGTCTATGGAGCGCACGCATATATTTTTTTTAAAAGGATACAGTCCAAAGTGTTCCTTCGGGCTGCGATAGCTCGTGGCTTGACAGTTCTGTCCAAACTTCCCATCTGATTTCATAAAGGTGTACCCATTCCCGTAATCTTGTGATATTATATATCTATATATATTTTCCTTTCCGAAAGGCTTATATAGCTATAATCTGGGCTGGTGGAGGGGAGGGGGAAGGAGGAGGAACTACGGAGTAGCCGGGTACCTTCATCCACTCAAAGCCTTCCAGAGCTGGGGGCACTTTTTTTTGCCAAGAAAATGGGGGGGGGGGGAGGGGAAGAGGAGGAGGAGGAGGAAGAGGAAGAGGAAGAGGAAGAGGAGGAAGACCTCGTCGCAAGTCGAACTCTGCTAGGAACAGAGATTTGTAATTATTTGTTCTCCATGAAAACAGAAAAACAAAAAAAAGTTATTTATATTGACCGTATTTTTTCTAGAGTATTTTAAGTTATTGAGGAGGAGGAGGAAAGAAGAAGGGGGTGGGGAGGGGGGGGGAAGGAGGAGAAAAGCCGGAGAAAAATATGCTGTTATACTTTCCATTTACATGTTGTTGTCCGCACGATCTATTTTGTTCCACTCAGGTTTGCTCCGCTTTTGATTCATTCATTGTTGACGTCACGATTTTCAATAAGTGCCAAGTTATGAATTAAGACACTTTGCAATCTATTGAATGGAAAAAGAAAGAAAGAGAGAGTAAAGTTTTAGCTGATGGTTTCGCATAACTTCTGTTCGTGGTTCCAATTAAATCAGTAGTGCCATTCTACCTATCTTTATTTCCACCCTTTCTGCCCCCCTTCCTCCTTTGGATCTTTCTCTCTTTCTTTCTCTCTTTTCTCTGTGCGTGTTTAAATCCTCACGGAGTTTGCAGGTTTCTCTCTGCATATTTTAAAGGGCAAACTAATCTATCAAACACGAACGGCTTAGTAGTCCTTCATGCCTTTAGTCCCTTTTATTTCCACTCTAGAAATTTGGTTTAGTATACAGTTTGGTTTAGTATACAGTCTCATCTGAATGCCTATATATAGGCATTCAGATGAGAGATATATATATTTGAAGAGCGATGGGAATAATTATTTCACATCTCAATTTAGTCTTCATATAATCTAGAAGAGAGAGTACAATCCAGCGCACGTCTACTCAGAAGGAAAACCGACTGATTGCAATGAGGCTTACTCCCCAGTAACTGTGCCTAGAATTTTCAGTTTTTACCTGGGAGTAAATCCCATTGAATTCCGTGGGGTTTATCTCTGAGTAGGCAACCGTAGGATTTTCGGTAAGCCTCTTAGACCACTCACGAGTTTCTCTCAGATGGCGCAATTGGGGCAAACGTGCAATAAATTGGGCAGTTTTCGGATTAATAGAGAGGTATGAATCGGCGCAGGGGGGTGGATTTACATTGCTCCTAATCTCACTGACCGTGCAGTCCTACACATGTCTACTCAGAAGTAAGCTTGAGGCCTCCGGACTTACTCATAAGTAAGTCTGAGGTAAGTTAAATGTGTATAGAACAGCAGCCTTAATGTACGAATTCATTGAAATTTGCTCTGGGGCTGCTCTAAGCAGTACTTATTCTGTACCACCCTGAACTCACTTTCTGGGGAATAAGAAACCCCATTGGGCTCAATCACTGGCACTTGCTTTTGAGTAGAAACGGGCAACGGGATCGGGCCCTAAAATGTTTACCCTGAAATAATACCCACCGTATTAATTAAGACTTAACGAAATGCTAAATGTTGCCATTTAACTGGGACTAAGACACAATGAATTCAGTGGGAATTATTTCCAAGCAAAGAAACAAACACCGCTCGCAGCACCATGGATCCCTCAGGATGCGATCCTGCTCGCACGAGTTCTTGCAGTCATGCTCCCCACTGAGACCAACAGAGTCGATTTCCGAATAAACCGAATTTGGAGTGGATGGGTGCGATTTTAAGCCCGTTCCCTTAAAGTAGTGAAGTTTACTTCAGAACAATAAAGCCTGTCTGTTCCACTGACTTTTTTTTTGGTAGGCCGTCTAGCTTTCAGCCCTCCTTTGCGCACTTGCTCTTGAGTAGACATGCACAAGGACAAGTCCAACTTTCTCTTGGACCGTCCCGTCCATTGCACGTTTACTCCACAGGCTTCTGTGGGACTGACTTTCGAGTAAGCGCCCATAAGATCACATCTTTCTCAGAGGGTCTTTCTAAATCTCAGCTGCCTTCGTTCCATTCCATAGCCCAGATCACAGAGCAGAGGAAACCAGCTTCGGGGTACAACTGAAGTCAAGGTCAGCCCGATCTTGCTTAAGCTGTGGAATACTTCCGAGTAGACACGTATGGGGTTTTGCACTGTGAATCCCAGGGAAACGTCTCTCCTGAAACCAGGAAGATTATCCTGGGAAGCGAGGCTCCCTTGGCGAGCCGCTTCTTAATTTTGAACTCAGCCTTTTAATGCCAATGGTCTTCAATCGAAGCAAACCGGTTTGTCAATAAGGCTGTTAGCCTGATTATTCAATAAGCTCGTTATATATATATATATATTATATATAATATTGCGGGTATCCACTAGAGCGGTCCACGCTCGATACGAACAATTGCATCAGGAGCTCCAATAATAAGAATGTTTTGGAACGCGCGCTACTGTTTTTAAAACCAAAACAGATCTACATCCATTATATAGATCTACATCTGCATCATAATATAGAAAGCCAAGAACGATTTGGAACGTGAGGGGCGCCGTGTAGACAGAAAACCCGCGCGCTAATCAGTCGGATTCCCTCGGATGTAGCTCTCGCCCGCCCGCGATTACTTAAACCAACTTGCGTCCCCCGGGGACAGCGCCGTCGTGAGAATGTTAAATGGGGGCGCAGAGGGGGTCTAGCCCTCGACCGGTTGTTCTTGGGGAAGGGGGCGGGGAGTTCTGCACGCTTTCCTGTTGCTGCTGGCGTGCTGGGTGGGTGTTCGTTTCAGGTTGCTTAAGAAAGAAAGAAAGAGAGAAAGAAAGAAAAGGAAATTTCCTGTGTTCCAGGGCTGTCAGAAGACCGATCAACTCCCCTGGCGCCTAACCTTCCCGGGAGGGGAAGACAAGGACCCCAGGAAGAGGTGGATTGACTGGAAAGGCGGGGAGGGACTGGGTGGGATCGTGGCCTCATCCATGGGCGTAGCCAGGGTTATGTTGGGGGCGCAGGACCCTCACCTGTCACCATCCTCTGTCTGGCTCTGTCTAGCAGATTCGGAATGAAATGTCTCAACATCAGTTGCTTTAAATTACTTACTTTCTTTTGACTCCAGGGGCTCAGAAAAAAACCCCAAAACATGTCAAAAT